GTTTGTTTAAAATTACATAAAGATATGATTAATTTAACAAACAAGTGAAGGATTAGCTTGACTTGAGAAAGCTGGTTAATTAATTTAGGGAAATCCGCCATCACATGCAATAATATTCAACAATTTGGTAATCCAAAATTTATATTGATTGATTATGGTGAAGTCAATGCCTTAGTACCTCATATCTTGGTTATTTTTATTTTAATTGTTAGTTTCTTTTTGTTATTTAATTAAAATTCTATCTTTTCGATAGTTCAAATAAATTTAGATTAATTATTTTGGTACTTAGTTAGACACAATCCTCGTGGGTTCGACACTCTTCTTATCATTATATTACTTGGAGCAACTAGTACACTTGATAAAGTAATTTTAGTGCATCAGTAATTTATCCTTATCTTTTTTTGAAGGATGAATTTGTTCTTATTTTCCTATTTGAATGGTGATTTTGGAGTTTGGCCATTTTTCTTACTGTCTTTAGGGTGAATTGTAGGATCTTGTCTAACCCTTCCTTTTACTCTACTGGTTCCCCCGCTAATTATGATACTTACAAGATGCATGTGCACCGAATATTTTACTCCCTATATATATAAAAAGAATGGATGAATGCATATGAAATTTGTAAATAGAAGTGTTTTTAAAAATGAGGTGGGATCGAGAGACACAATTTTGGAGCTAATTCAGAGAAAGACATTTGAGTGGGTTAAAGGAAAATTTGTTGGGAGAGTCTAATAGGTTGATTTTGGGAGTGCACGTATGAGACAACATAAATATATATGAATAGACACTATATTAAATCCAAAAACATGTTTATTAGGTTCATGAGCTTTCACATATATATTATATTCTAATGTTTTATTTTTCATCTATATAAGATTTTTACACATCATTCAACTCCACTTACATGTTGATATACTCCAACAAAATTTTCAAGTTGCTCTTTTAACATTAAGGAATGGTGATCCCAACCAAATGTGTGTTCAGGAAATGGTGCAACATAAAAAGGCTGCAAAGGTTTAGCATAAAGCCAAAAGATTGTAATAGTTATTGTGCATGTTGGTTAAGTTGTGCTTAATTGGACTGATGTATTTTGTTATGTGGGTAGGAATACCCTTGTTCTCCATTAATATTAATACATATGAATTTTGTTGGCCGATAAAAAAAAAAATCTACAAATACGTACTTATCCAGGTTGGCAATTGGAGGGAAAGTTTGAGTTATTTGTCTTTGTAGTTTTTCTTCTTCTTCTTCTTCTTCTTTTTAAAAATTTTTCGGTTGCATAATGTATGGGAGGCAACTTGTGAGTCTCTTTTTATCTTTTAACTCATTTTTGCTCAAATCATGCAACTCAAATTTAAAATTTTTTATTTTTATTAAAAAAATCATTATTGAACCTACAATGTACATAACAAGTAAAGCAATAATACTGTACTTATAATAACAAGGAGAATTGTAAACTTATAATTTTATATAATATTAAATAAAATATGACGTAATATTAAATAAATATATATATAATATCATAGATGAATCTTTGAATAAAAAAACTAATTATATAATAACATATTATATTATAAATTTATAATATTACATGATATTATAATTATAATATTTTTGCAACTAAATTGGGGTTCTTTCAACATAGTGTTTTTTTTTTAATAACATTGGGAAATTGGGAGAAGGGGGATGACACTACAAGAAAATGAACCATGGCAGACTCTATGGTCAATGTGTACCCTACCAATGTAGTGACAGCTGGGGCTGCATTGACAATATTATTTAATATTATAATTATAATATTTTTGTTAAAATTAACCTTCACTTTCTACAAGATATATTTCTAAAAGAAAAACTAACTTGGGTTAGTGACTCTCATGTTACCAAGAGAATCTTGGTGGCAAGTTTGTGATATACATGTGTTTCAAATTAACTAGAGAACTGAGCCTCGGAATTTATCAGCAACTTGAAATACCTAGTATAAGGCAGAATTTTTTTACTCGTCAAGACAATCTGAAGCAGCCTAAGAGCATGTACATTATACAATGGGAATAATTAAAAAGCTAAATTTAGTGCTATATCATTATAATTAATATTATTTTATATAAATTTATATTTTAAATATTTAACCTTCAAATATTTATGCCACTCCTCCAACATATATACCTAGGACGTTGATTAGTGTAACTTTTGAATTTAATATATTATATAATGGATTTATTAAAAAATTATTATTTTTTAATTTAAAATTAAATAAAAACGAATTAAAAAATATAATTATATTTATAGAATATAAAAATTAATTAAATTAATTACATTTATATTTTATTTTAATAATTAAAATAAATAAATTTAAAATAATATATTAAATTTAAAAAAAAGTGAGAATTATTTTTCATATGCTTAAACAAAAGATTCCTAAAAGTACGCATTAAATATTTGTTTATTTAATCCAAAAGAATAAAAAAATTATTTTAAACATAGGTTGATTCAACAGCGTTGAATCAACATTATTAAGTTAATAAATCGAACCTTTAGCTCAATAGTTCAACTTCAAATTTTAAAATAATTAAATAAAATGATCGAAATTTTAAGTTTTGTCATCATATCGAAAACTCCCTTCACTCGTCTCAAAATTATATACTGTTAAAAAAAAAACATTATTGAGCTAACGCTGCACGCGTCTGACTTTTGCCTCGAGAGGCAAAAAGAAAGCTAGAAAAGGAAAAGGATACAGCTAGGCCCGGCTCTTCTTTACAGGTGTATCAATCAATACCATAATAAAATAGAGCTCTCACTGTAGATTTTTAAGTGCTTTGTTCGGCTTAATTCAATTTTTAGCCTATTAATTATCATCTTGATTTTATTTTAATTTAAAAATTATATTTTATTTTTAAATAATCTATATTAACTTTCAGATTTATTTCAATTTCATCTTATCTCTGACGGAAAAGTTACTATTCTGTTACAGAACAGTTAGTCCTCTAACTATATTTATTTTGATTTTTTAGTCCTCAAATTTATATTTACTGTAAAAACAACTTTTATACTTAAAATTATTATTTCTAGGCTTTGATATCGAATTATTATTTAATTGTTTCTATTTTTAAAATATTATCAGTTATTCATTAGTTAGTAGTAGTTTGAATTAAGTTCTGAAAACCCGAATAAAAATCTAGTATCAGAGCATAGAAATAATAATTTTAAGTATAAAGACTGTTTTTACAGCAAATATAAATTTGAGGACTAAAAGATCAAAACAAATATAGTTAGAGGATTAACTATTCTCTAACAGAATAGTAACTTTTCCGTCAAAGATAACCAGGTAGACGAAATTGAAATAAATCCGAAAATTAATAGACCACTTAGAAATAAAACATAGTTTCTAGACTAAAATGAAATCAATGTGATAGTTAATAGACTAAAAATTGAATTAACCCGCTTTGTTCTATCTTCTTTTATCTCCGGTTTTTTGCTATTGTACTGCTATAAAATGATTAGAAAGACATATATAAGTAGAGGTTAATTTCATCTTAACTTTTAAATTATTAAGGTTTTTTAACTTAATTTATGTTAAGAGTCTATTTATTGTGTTTTTTATATCATTTTTTTTGTTTCAAAATAATTATTATTTTTTGACTTTTTTCTCAAATTAAAGATTTGAAGAAATATTTATATTTATTTATAATATTTATTTATCTCAAAAACTGAAAAAATGCTCATTAATTTGAAACAAATTTAAATTAAAAAAAACCTTATTATGAAA